AGGTTCACCCTTCAGCCAAAGATTAGACAGACCCATAAAACAAAATGAGGCTAATGAGGCACACCAGCCCAGAAACAAGGACTAGAAGGCAGGAGTGGACAGGAGAGCTGATAATAGAGAACCCAAGGTTGAGAAGGGAGAGTGTTGACATGTCGTGAGGTTGTTAACCAATGTCATAAAACTATATATGTACTAACTGTTTAATGAGAAACTAGTTTGTTCTGTAAACTTTCATCTAAAGTACAATAAAAAATATATATTTTAATTATACCCTCATATTTGAATGATAACGAAATTCTAGGTTTGAAAAAAAAAAGAAAACTGGAGCTCCTTTAAAAGGGACCTTGAAAAGGAGTTAGTGTCTACAATGAGTCCCAGCTTTTATAAAGGGGTAGGAGTGTTCCTTGGGAGCCAGATTTGGGGGTGGGGGGGCAGCAAGTAGAACCTCCACCCACCCACAGCTCCCTGAGGGCTCTGGGCATGGTTTTAAAAGGGAAGCTGCCGCATGACCTTGTGGCCCACACCAGTGGGATCCTTACACGACCCATCCCTGACCAGTGCTGAGCTTCAGGCATGCTGGCAGCTTCTCAGTCTTCTTCCCGTGGCCTGGCTGTAATTCTCCCTAAGCCTGTCAGCTCCACAATCACAGGCCACACGGTGGATGCCCTGGCTCCAGCCTCCTCCCTCCCCGAGGTCCTCGGATTCAGAAAACTGGTCACCCCTACCTGGTCCCAATTTTCTGTTCTAGAGACCTGCCATACCCTTGGTGAAGCCCTTTTGCAAACCAGGTTCCTTTCATTCAGTGACTTTCAGAGGGAGAGAGGTTTACCCTGGCCCTCCAGCCACACCCATGTTGCCCCTGTCCAAACTTCACTGCCTTTCTCCAGGAAGCCTACCCGATTATCTTTACCAGGTGTCTCCTCTTCACTGTACTCTCAAAGCCGGGCCTTTTCCAGTCTTAGGCCCTCATCCCACACCCACATTATATTATGTCATAAGGCTGGGACTTCTTTACCATGGTGACCCCAATGCTTAGTACGGAGCCTGGCACAAAGTAAGTGCTAAAGATAAGTCTGCTGCATGAATGAATGAATGGGGGACTTCAGGCATTTTTTAGAAGCCCCTGGCTGAGCTGCCCTGGATATGGAATAAAGGTCAGCAGATGTTAGGTTCTACCCTCCTAAGTGTCCAGGGACTTATGTCTAGAGGCCTGGTTTTCTCAAGAAGTTTGGCCTCTGGATGAACTTTGAGACCGAGCCCTTGGAAAACAGCTGTCACCCAGAATTATCCTGGGCTAACTGGGTCCCTGCTCCTGTTTCCTCTGCAGGCTTCAACTCTGACTCACCAAGGGCTCAGCCTGCTGGGATTTGACACCTCTTGCTAGGCTTTAATGGGATCTGACCCTGCCTTGTCCTGCCCCACAACTGGATAATGGTGTCCTGTCTTCAATCTCCTAGCATCTCCTGCCACTCCTATCTCATGCTGACAACTCACAGGAGCTGGGGATTTCTCAGATTCCTCTGGCCCAGTTGTCGAATGCAGAGCCCTACACACACACATACACTTACACACATATACACACTCACACACACACACACACACACACACACACACACACAGAGACACTGAACCAGAGAAACACTGCTGAGCCAGAGTGACCAGTTTTATTAGATTCCAGCAAGAATATATGGTACATGTTTCATGCAGATTAAATATGTGTCTTCACTGTCCTTGGGAGGGGAGCACATTCACTACTAGTTCCTTCATTGGCATGTCAGCGGATGGGTGTCAAGGGGAACCCTCAATATATTCCGAATGAGGGACAGTTGGGATCATGACTGGGGGTGGAGGTGAGACAGTGGGCAGCTGTAGGCCCCTGGGACCTTGAGTCTTCAGAGGTTCAGGGACGATAGGACCTTGGTCCTTTGCTGGTGCTGACACCAGAGGATCTTGATCTTTCAGAGGCACCGGGATTATAGGAACTTGATTCTTCACAGGCCCAGGGATCCCAGGACCTTGATTCTTTGGAGGCTCTGAGATCATGGAACCTTGATCCTTGACTAGGGCTGGGATCATAGGACCTTGATTCTTCACAGCATCAGGGCCCACAGGACCGTGATTCTTTACAGGTGCCACAACCACAGAATCGTGGTCCTTCAGGTGCTCTGGGGTCACTAAACCTTGATTCTTTACAGATGCTATAAGCATGGGACTTTGAACCATCAGATGCTCTGGGACCATGGGACCTTGATCCTTGACAGGTGCTGGGGCCAAGGGACCTTGAGTCTTCTCAGACTCAGGGACCACTGGGCCTTGATCCTTCAGAGGCTCTGGTGTCACAGAACCTTGATTCTTGACTTCTTCTGGAACAGTTGGACTCTGATTCTTTAGAGGAACTGGGACCATGGGACTGTGGTCCTTGACTGGCACTGAGATCATGGAACCTTCCTTCTTTAAAGGCTCGGGGACCACATGATCTTGATCTTTGACTTGTGTTGGGACCACAGGACCTTGATCCTTTAGCAGCTCTGGGACCACAGCACCTTGATCCTTTAGCAGCTCTGGGACCACAGGACCTTGATCCTTCAGAGGCTCTGGGACCATGGGATCTTGATCCTTCAGAGGCTCTGAGACCACGGGACCTTGATCCTTTGGCGGCCCCAGGTCCATGGAACGTTGATCTTTCGTAGGCTCTGGGATCACAGGACCTTGACCTTTCAGAGGCCCCAGGACTATGGGTCCTTGATCCTTGTCTGGCTCTGGGGCTACAGGACCTTGATTCTCATGTGAATCGCCGGCAGGTTGATCCAGACTCCTGCAAAGGAGAGAGATGTGGTCACTGTGAGAGCCAGCGCTCTGACCAGGGATGGGGCAGAGCACAGATTGCCTCATAAGTCTTGGCCCAGTGGAGGCTGGGCAGGACAGCTCTTGCTGGAGAGCCAGGAGGAGAATCTGATTTCTGTGTTCTTAGTACAGACTGTGGGTGGGGAGAGGGGCAGGATCAGGAATCATTCATTGTGCTTGCCAATTGATTATAACCTGCACGTGGCACAGAGAGTGGTGCCCTGGTGACTGACGGCAGTACTATAGCTGGACTCAGAGTACTCCAGTGGGGATCCCAGCAGTCCACCCAACACTGTACTCCACCCAGGCCCTTCCTTCTTTCAGGATAGTTGGATCCATCCTGGGAGTCCTGGTTTAGTTGTCCACTCAGATAGCCCTACAGACCAGGGTGCTCTTTCCTTATTCTCAGGGCCTTCCAAGGTTCCTTCCCTTCCCCTGACCCCCTTAAGGGCTGAGTGTAGGGAGGGAGGAGCAAAGAGTCCATGATATCAAGAATTGGGGCAGTGGAAATGTGCCTCCTATCTATCTCCCCTGTAAGGAGAGGAGTATTTTATCTGACATTGTTTAGAATTGCCAGCATATGGTAATAATAAAAAGCAGACCAGCTTTTAATTGGTTTTATTATTGTTTTCAAATTCTCTATAGAAAATGCACCCTATTTTTGCCTGTACCCATGGTGGACCACTCCCATCACCTTCACTTAGCTTTGATAGGCCACTGGGTGGGACTCCCAGGCAATGAAGAGACCCTGATTCCCTCAGTCCAGCACACTTCCAGCTTTGTCCTCTCCTGCCCTCGCTCTACTCTTCTCAGGCCCTTCCTGGGCTTATTTCCTTACAGCCAAGAGTCCAAGCCTCTCAACAGAATCCTCATGGGCTGCTACAGCTGCCTCCCTGTGGACACTCGCCCCTGGCCCATCACATCATGGGCAGCATGTGGCCTCACTGACACCCAAAGGTGAACATTTGCCGTGCTCAGCCAGGGCAGTCTGGAGTCCTCTGTTTAGAATGCGTGCTCCTTCCGTGCTTAGAGCTGCCGTTTACGAGAGGTGTTGCTCAGTCAGTGTCACAAGCCCTGCATACCTACAGCACATTCTACTTTCCAAATCACTTCTTTCCATATCTCATTTCAGAGACACAGCAACCCTCTGAAACACCCAGGGAGGATTTTATTATCTCTATGTGTCAGATGCAGAAACTGAGATCCAGAGAGGGCAAGTGATGTGGAAAGTGAGGAGGGCTGCCTGTACTAGAGTCTGGGTCTTTCCAATCCTGGAGCCTGTGCTCTTTCCCCTGGAATGCCTGGCACATAGTACGTGCTTAATACCAGACCCAGTGCTGTCAAGTTGATTCCGACTTATAGAGACCTTATATACAGGATTGCTATTATAACTCTTTTACAGTTTGTGGCCAACCAAGTCTTTAAGCTTAAAACCACTTCAGCATTTTAACAATTCCTATTGCTTTTTAGGAATATGTCTTACTTATTAAAGCTGGTCCAGTAAAACCTTTATTTGGTTACACTTTCTTAGCTCAGTATAGTTTAGTCTCTCTGGGTCTCAAATTATCGTCCATTCATTGGGTATAATGATATTTACTCAGATATTTATGATGACTAGAGAACATGTATGTAGAGCACTTTCTGCCGTGGTATTATTAGGTAGTATTACGATTATTTTCCTATTTACTTAGAAGTAAAATTACGCATATTGGGACTATTTTATTCTGATACGTCTTCCAGGTCCAGAAAGCTTCTTAATATCTTCAGCATTTTTTGCTACTAGAGGGCTGACGTCTCTCAGCAGAGTACACAGTGGCACGTGCAGCCTATCCCCCCAGTCCCTTTTGACAACTCTGAACATCACAGTGAAGGGAGGGGGCCAGGCTGGCTTCCTGGCTCAGCGTGACACGGACCACAGCTGCTTTGGACAGACGGACCTGGCTGGCTGCCTTCAGCATGACCTTAGTATGTGCAGAGAGAGCGAGGCAAGCCCATGAGAAGCACACTTAATCCAAGGATGGCATTAAAATACCTCCAATAGTTGGTGGCTGGCCAGAGAGGAAAAATTCTTAATTCAGAATAGACTCAAGCAGGAAGGTGATTAGATGAATCCTATCAGTTTGTGAAGCAACCTGGGTGGAGTCATCTTGAAGAGGGTGATGAAGCTGAGAGAGGGAACAAAAGAAGTTGCCCAAGGCTTAACTTGATCTCAGGGTGCTTGGGTTGCAAAACTAATCCCATTGGCAGGACAGGGACTCAGAATCCCCTGCTGGTATGGAGGTTATAAGGAAGGTCAGCCTGGAAGCCCGAGTCACAAAATACATTTTCCTGGATGTTTGCAGGATTGACTCCTATGTCACACCCGGAATTTTTGTCTGATGAACACTCCTAAACCAGTCGTGAGGTAATCCCAAATTTGCTTGGGTACGTGACCCTATATTGCTTTGCTTGGTAAACTTGTTTCGCTAGTGGGTTAAGTGTCTTTAATCATGGAAGGGCTTAGAATTAAGATGAGGAATTAAACCAAACCCCAAATATTAATCTTTTTTTGGTATTAAGTTTAGAAAAATACGTGTAGATTTAGCCGTAAGTATTTGTAATGTTTAAGATAATTTGGTATATTAGAATATATAATAGATTAGCTTTGTGATTTTGATATAAACAGTATAATAGAATAATTTAGACTTATTATTTTAAGTTGAAAGATATGACAATTTTATAAAGGTTTGTAAACAATGCTGGAACTTTTACAACAACCCAATAGTTACCAGGTTTTAAAACTAATTTAGTTTAAATTATTTATAATTTAATTTAAATTACTTTGGGGAATTGAATTAATTTACAACCCCCCCCTTAAAAGGGATTCTTAAATTTTACTACATGTTTGAATTTGTCACTTCTATAAATTAAGCATTCATTTTTAAAACAAAAGCACCCTCAGGTTTTTCTATGCACAAAACTGCCCTTAAGGGCACCAAAAAACTCACATTGACACTTAACTAACCATCATGTAAGGAGCCCTGGTGGTGCAATGGTTAAGAGCTTGGCTGCTAAGCAAAAGGTTAGCTGTTTGAACCCACTAGCTGCTCTG